AAATGTATTCATTGGATAAATTGTGATAACCGTAACCATAGCAGAATACTCAAGATAATAATGACCTAAATAAAAGAGCTTTTGATTTTTTTTTTGAGTTAAACGTAATTTTCTGCTGCGGCTTTTGTGAACACCCTGTATTTGACTGCCAGTATACCCATAAAATGTGAGAGACTTTTTAAATATTTTACTGCACTCGATATTGTTCGATTGTTACACTGAAAAAACCTGCTGAACTTTATATACAATTCTGTTGGCGTCAATAAAGAAAATCAATTATTGACAATTTAAGCTTTTATGAATTTAGGTTAAAAGCAAGTACAATCAAAACTCGACAAAATTATCGCTTAAATAAAGTTTTCGATTTTTTTTATGTATCTACACTGTAGTTACTAGTTTGCTACTGTGTGACTTTCAAAAACACCCTGTATTTGACTGCCTTGAGTGCAACCATAACATCAGAATTTTTTTAGTGTTAAATATCAGTTTCTACTGCGACTTTTGTAAACACCCTGTATTTGACTGCCCGTCTAACTGTAAAATAGCAGAGATTTTTTAGAAATTTTGTTGAACTTCAAGAGTTCGTTTTAAATAGTGTTTGTTGCTTAAGCACTCCTCTTCACGCTGTGTTGAACTTTCATAACTTTCGAAGTTCGATCTCAACTTAAGGCTGATGCTTAGTCAGATCGACCATATTTAAAACGCACCTCAATGAGGAGGAAGGTTCAAGTTATCAATCGGGTTTTGAGGGTCAATTTAGTCATAAACTACAACGTAACAAGAAAATGGATAGAAATAATTCAAACTAAACCTGGGAAGAAACTTTTATAAAAAACACAGTTTCAAACAAAAAATATAGTGACTAAAGCGCCTAAAATGTGTTACACTTTCTTCTAGCGGGTTGTATTTGCGAACGAACGAGTTTTCAGGAAATTAGTCCTCTAGAAAGTCTCCTTATCTAAAACGTGAAAAAATCTAGTTTTGAACGAGTTTTGTAGCCATCCAGGTCAAAATCATTCCAACAAATGATTAAGAACAAAATTTGTTTAAGTTGATCGTGTTTTTTCAGTGTAACAGTCAGACAATATCGATTGAATGCCAGCCCGAGAAGTTCACAAAAATTCCCAAAAAATTTCTTTTATTTGATGGTTTTTTTGACACTGGAATACAGGGTGTTTACAAACGTCGCGGGAGTAAAATGATTTATTTTTAAAAGATTCTGTTGATGTGACGATATTCTCGAATTTGATGCTGTGGTGTTTTTGAAAATAATTTTGCAAATGCATCAATTTTCAATTATCTATGCCCCAAATGCAACCACCCCTGAGACTTGTTAAACATTCCAAGTTAAATCTAAGCTTTTTTCCCAGTGTACATGCAGTCACAGTAATTGATATAAAGTTCAGTAAGTTTTTCAGTGTAACAATAGTATGGACTTCACGAAAGTCTGTAACCAATGTTTCCTATTTTATGGTTATAAAAGTCGCGTTTTATTTAGCAAATATAGCAAAAATAGCAAGAGTTTTATTTAGCAAATCTCTTTATTTTATGGCCAGTGTGGTAGTCAAACACAGAGTGTTTTCAAGTCACAGTCACAAAATGATACTTTAATTGAAAATAAAAAAATCGAGAGCTTTATTTAAATAATAATTTTATCGAATTATTACTAACTTCCAAAGTAATTTTCACAAAAGCTAAAATTGTCAATGGTTAATTTTCCTAAGTCGAAATATAATCCCAAATCGATAATTTATATAAAGTTAGTCGGTTTTTTCAGTGTAACAGTAGAACAATATCGATCATACAATATCAAAGTCTCTAAAAAATCTCTCCTATTTTATAGTTATACGGGCAGTCGAATACAGGGTGTTTACAAAAGTTGCAGTAAGAACTGATATTTAACGCTAAAAGAATCCTTCCAGAATTTTCAAGAATCCTTAACGAGTCTTTCAAGTAAATTAGAAAATCGGAAGCTTTATTTAAGCGATGTTTTTTTCGAGTATTGTAATCGACTGGATTTTTATGTGATTTCACAAAAGCTTTAATTGTCAAGCATTAATTTCCATTATTGCCAACCACAAATGCAACCACCAATAAAACATTTTAAGAATTGCAACCAAATTGCTGAATCTTTTCCCCAGTGTAGGTAAATATAAAATTTTGATGTGTTTTTCAGTGTAACAGTCAGACTATATCTACCAAATAGGTTCACACAAATTCCCAATCAGCCTGTTTAATTTCTGAATATTGTCATGTAACACCGGGTGTTTACAGAAGTCGCAGTCGTAAGACTAGACTTAAAATTTTTCAAAAATCGTAATCTTCTCAGTTTGAGCAATTTTTCCGAGTACTTTGCTATAGCTGTTTTCATCTGAATTTCCCAAACGTATAAAACACCCTGTAAGGCGGTAGCTTCGGATATTTTTAACGACCCAATTAATAGATTCGTTGTGGCGTCGGGCGTTACAATAATTGCAAACGATGCCCATTTATATGTTTAGCAAGTGTAACCAATCAATTTAGGGGGACAGATTACTAGTAACGATACATCAATGTCGGGCGAGGGTCTTAGTGTAACTCCCCTAATTTTTCGCTCCACTGAGGATAATATTTTGTGCACGAGACCCCCGTTTAAGATCCGATTCAGATCGTTAATTGGAAAATAAAGTCGGCAAAAAATTCGACGCGGATCGTTATCCCAGTTAATTGCTGAATTATTGATTGAATTGATGAAACAATAAGAAAAATTATCAAACACGTTTTTTTTTGGTGAAGATCCAATTATTTCGGAAATTTAACATGCTTATCCGACTCCAAAGAGGCTGTTTCATCGCGTTTCAGTTCCAGTAGGTTTCGGATTTCGTGTTTTATTTAAACGACCAGCCAAAGTTTCTAAACAGCATTGAATAATTCCAGAAGCGCGACGCTTAGCTCGTTGGAAAGTGTAAAATAGCCATTTCGAAACAAAGCGGAAGACAATGCACGCCGTTGGAAAATTAACAGCGCCGTCGACGTCGCGACGTAATTGGCTCTTGGGCTTGTTAGCAAGCCGTGAACTTAGTAATTAATCCTCTGGTTACGTTGCCGCCTACTTTCCGTCTTTTCGGGGTCCTCTTTGGACACAATTCGGCTGTTGTGATTTCATCAATTTTCGATAATAATCCCGCACAACTAAATTTTTTAATGAAGTTAATGGACAATGAAGCATTTCTACTGTTTTCAAAGGTTTACCTATCAACATTCCTAGGGCGATGGTGAGAGTCTCAAGATTCAAGACTCTTCTTTCCCCTGATCTTCCTCTTTTGACTACAACGATACGGGGGTGAAGGTGCACATCGTTTGCAGGTTTTGCGTTAAAAAACTTTTGAGTCACATTCAGTCCATCAGGCAGTTTAAATCTGATTTTTTTATGGCATTAAGGGGAATATTTCCGGTAAAATGTGCGCCACTGCAGGTGCAATCGGTGTATTGTTTTCGCGGTTTTCGCAGGCAAATGAATGCGGTTAACACGATTGTCACATCGTATTGATTTCAGCTGCCGAGCTCATCTTCTCGCATTACCGCCATTTAATCATCCCTGGCCCCGATTTGGGGAATCACAGGAACTTTCAGATGGGGATTTGTGTTAAATTAATTGTTTTTTTT